AAAAAAAAAAAAACCCCCAACAGCTTGAAGTGAATGAAACATTTTTAAACCTTAGGCTTGAATTTTTTGTTGGCAGCGAGCACGGACGCCAGACGCGGAGACTCGGTCCGACAACAACCCGGGTCTTCAGAGATGGCACGCCGCCATCTGGGCGCCAGAGGCGGCGGCGGTGGCGGTTGAGACGTCTTGCCACCACCGCCACATCCTCCGTCTGTGGCCTCCGAGGAGCCTCGAGACGACTGCGAAAAACTTCCTGCTCGAGCTTCCCGCACAACAGCCGGCCTTGGAAAGACAAAAATTTGTTGATTAAAAAAAAAGAAGAATCAATTCATTCATAGTTGGCATTCATTTATTTTTCTTTGAAAAAAATTATTTACGCTGCATTTTTCCAGCTTCTAAAACGTCACGACCTAAAGTCTCGTCACATTTCAAATTAATATCTGTCATTGCAAGAAAACAAGTTGTTGATAGAAAATTAATCAATTAATTCATCTTTGGCCTTCATTTTTTTCTGTGCAAGAATTATAAAACTGTGCATTTTTCCAATTTTTGAAACGTATCAAAAGAAAAAAAAATCGACAATTAAAAATTAAATCAACTGGTTTTTCCCTCACATTTATATTTTCTTTGAAAAGTATCAACACCTTTCATTTTTGGATTCTGAAACGTCGTAACCATAAGATTCGACCTAGAAAAAATTAAACCCCCATCAATTGAAAAAATGAATACATTCATTCCTCTTTCGACGTTCATTATTATTTTTAAAATATCAACGTTGAATTTTTCCCGATTTTAAAACGTATCAAATACCCTCGCGTTTTACATGAATTTTAAATGCTCGCCCTGGAAAGAGAAAAACCTTTCAATCAATAAATGCCAATTAAAAGAACAATAAATTCATTCGTCTCCGAAGTTTAAAATTTTGTTTTTCAAATGTCAAATGCTGGATTTTTTGAGCTTTCGAAACGTTGTTGTGGAAATCTTGATTGAACCTTGTGAACGCTGAAAAGCGGCAAATAAAGTGTTCTGT